ATAGCCATCTTGGAGATCACTCGGTGCAATTAACAGCCATGCTCTTCTTAAGACCAAAAACCCTCGAGTTTCCGAGCTACATGCCAACCAAGATGTGCAGACTATTTCGCACAGATTATTTGGAGGTTATCCAGGCATCCATGACGCTATAATAACGTCCTTCACAACATGCCATTCAAAGGGCATACGACGTTCCAGATCAATAAAAATATAATTGCTGAGTCGCACATTTCTGACGTTTGTGAGCAAAAATTTCCAAAAATCGCGGCTGTCAGCTGGCTCCCAATCAGGGTCATGCAAGGTATGCAAGATTCTAACACGGGTTACGTTTTGCGCTGCATGAAACAAGAACTAATACATTATTCTCAATAATTCGGAAATATTACGGTAATCACCTTGACAGAAATATGACTTGTAACTGAGTTACTTATAATAGCGATATAAACAGGTATGTGAGTACAAGCAAACATCTTAAACTCACGAACAAATATGAAAGAGCACCACGAGAAAAGACCCAAACACGGGCACGTTTGGCTGAGCAAACACCTCTAGCTCACATTGCCATGTCTCGGGAGATTGATGAACTAGAAGTTCGTGTTATGATACAAACGTTCCATGACGCAATCAAACAATGGCGTATCGAGGGGTATATTTACTAAATAGAGAGATTATGTTGTCTGCAGCAGCCCTTTGCACTTATTGATCACATCTGGTGCTGCTTCAATATCTCCAAGTGTACGACATTTCCTTTAGCATGGCTGGTAAGGCTCCGTTTTTTTTTTAGAAAGGGCAGGAGGGATAGCACCGTCCTTCGGCAAACACCACCCGCCTCAACATTGAGAATATTGGACATTGTGCGTGAAGAGCTGACGGTCGTCTTTAACCGCGGCGCAGAAGAACATAGGGCACCGGGCGCTTTGATTTAATTGAATTTTTCGTCTGAATTATGGTGTGCTCTGCCTTTGCGCGTAGTGGTATTGAGAGTGGGGTATTTTACATTCACGGAAGTGGAAAGAATAGTACTGAATCATGATATATGACGATATCTCTGAGGTTTATAGGCATTTACGTCAAGTTTGCGCGCCCTGGATTGCACACGACGTGATCGGTAATGACGTCATCCACGCTCTTCTGCATCAAACAGGCTTTTGGGGTAACACCGCCCGTTCTGGCGGTGTTATCCCACCATGGGCGGTGCTACCCCAGGCGGTATTGTCTATGGGCTTTAAGGGATAACAATGATTGGATATATGTAAGATAGATGCGAATTTTTCAAATTCACGTGTGCATAAAAATCCAAAAATGACTAGTTAGCTCTGTTGCAGCTATTGTTTACCTCCGTCTTTCCTTTCCAGAATGCCTCGAAACTATATCCGAGATTGTGACTGGGGATCTTGGAGCACAACATCCATAAAGGATGCCTTAAAAGCTGCACGTAGGGGCCTGGAGATACGGCAGACCTGTAGGACGTTTGGAAGGTCCCTCTCAGCCCCCAGGGATCGCCTAAAAGATGACGGTCCGTTGCAACTAGATGACCCTCCATGCCTCGGCAAAAAGACAGTCATGCCCAACTATTTTGAGAACGCAATGGAGCGGCGAATTCCGCACCTGTCAAGCGTGTACATCGGCATAACGAGAGGCCATGGCCAGCAATGTATACGAATACGCCGTAAGACCGAAGATAAAGCATCCCTTCAATCACCAGAAGAGGTGTGGTGGCCCAGACTGAGTGACCGACTTTGTGAAAAGGCACCCGCAGAATTTCGCTCTGAAAAGTCCGAGACTACAGTTTGGTAAGATTAGACGGTTTTATAAAAAAACAACGTGCAACAATTCTACGACAGCCAGCTCGTGCAACATCAGAGCAAAGGCCCTACCCCTTCCTCCCAGGGTGTGCAATGTTGATGGGACGGCCTGAGCCCCGTGCCTGAAATCCCAAAAGTGCTTGCTGAACGAGGACAACGCAAGGTCGGCCAAGTTACGACAACAGAACGGGGTAAACTGACAACCAGTGTGGGATGTGCCAGTGGGCGTCCCTCCAATAATGATCTAAGGTGGGAGAACAGAGAACGCGGCACTAACCAAGGACCATCCCGTTGGAACCATAGGCACCGGTCAGCGACGACGGCTGGATCAACTACGGACTTTTTGTGGAGTGGTTTCGGCACTTCGTCCAGCATGCCGCGCCCGTACCTGTCGGAGGGCTTCTGGCCGTTACATACAACCATAGCAGCTATGTCAGTCTGAGTGTTGTTGCCCCAGCGCGAAAGCACGGGAGACTGGACATCGCTACCATATCCCCACACTGTTCACAAGTCGTGCACCTCCTCAACTTGACACAATGCGGGCCTCTCGAAGCGGTCTGGGCCCGGCAAGTGAAGTTCTTCCATGACACTCACTTGCGCCGAAGGATCACAGACATGTGTATAGGCGGTTTGTTCTCACAAGCCTACAAGGTCGTGCTTCAGAGCCCAGAAAACGCCATCAGTGGCTTTTAGGCCAATGGAGTTGTGCCGTTTAACCCTGACCGTGTCTTCGGAAGCTCAGAACTCTTCAGCCACAACTCTGTGCTTTGACATAAGCCTTTGGAGGAAAGCGTTGAGGGGCGTATGGAGCGTGACGAGCGGCAAAACACCCCTGCAGCGTCGGCACATCACAACACCCCGGCGGCACAGCGGCGGCACCGGCACCCGGCTACACCGGTACAGCACGTCACCCGGTCCTACCGTCACCTTATGGTCCAATAGATGACACACTCCCTCTTCCAACAGTCTTCGCGCCCCCAAGAAACGAAAGTTGTCGGAAACAGAGAGGCACATCTCTCGTAATGACCAGCTCCTCCCTAAAAGGCAATTGGAGGAGAAGACCCGAGCGAAAAGCGCTCAACGCTTTGTAAAACGCAGAAGAAAGCTTAGGTAGATGGGAAAAGAAATAGCAAGAAATAGTCCATTAGAAAAAGGTTCCTTCACAAATGTCATCTGTATGCACTGCTCAAAATGTAACACTATGACGAATGAGGTGTGGCTTGTGAGCTACCTGCCAGTTTTTTCATGGCACGGTAAAACAGGGAGAACTGAAAAAATATTTTGAAAGATTTGTATGATAATAATTTTATTTGTGATAAAAGGATAAAAAACAACTTTGCGTTTAAAGGATAGAATACGGCTACTTAATTACCCTTAGAAAGGTTGTGCGAAATCAGTATACTTCGACGATATATCGACTTCGGTACCTTTCGGACCCTCAGGATGTCTGTGGTCAAATGATACAGTGCGAGTTCTGATATCGCCTGAATCTTAAATTTTTAACCCCTAGAAGAAAAAAATTGGAAAACCTTTGAGAAAAAAAGTGGTAAATGTTGAGACATTTCGTCCGCTTCCAGCCAAAAGAATATAACCTAGGATCATAGGCACCATTTTTACACGATGGAGAACGCACAGACTGCTCCTGAAAATTTGGTGGTTCTAAACAGTCTAGTCAGACGACCACAGCCATTGTAAAGCTCAAACGGACTGCACGGAAAGATGTAGGATGGTGTAATCACGCTGTCAGGGCTACCTCACAATATTAGGTACAATTCAAAGCCGTTTGAAAATGAAACAGTTCCGTCCCGATTTTGACCGCTCCTGAAAAAAGAAAATTGACGAGCAATTGCATGCAAATCCTGACACCCACTCCTGACTTGACATTCCAGACACCCGCGGCTCAAATTCCGCCAGGACATGACCCGGAAGAAAGGTGGTTGCTGCTACTCCTTCTTCCCCTTGCAGGACGGTATCTGAAATGCTAATTTGACCCATCTGAGCTGATTTGACCTGCCAAAGTTTGCAGTCACGAGTACCAAGAAAAATCTTACTGATACAGTTTGACCAGTGGTTTCCCATGCCGCATTTTCTCGTGGCATTTTTAAGATCTCAGGAGCGGGCTCGAACAGAAAGGAAGCATACCTCCTGAGCGAAGCTAAAGTAGCTACATGAGCGAAGGTGAAAAACTTCGAGCATTGAAGTAGAAATTCTAGCAACTGCTAAAAAACAGTCTAAATCTTAGGATCTTAAAAGCTAAATGAGTCTTAAGATCTTACGCTCGCAGCACTTTCGTTATCTTTGTACAAGGGCGAACTCAATAAGCCGCCTTTGGACCTGGTTTGAATAATGCCGTCCAGGACATGCATGTGTACAACTAGCTCTCTTTGTATCCGCTATAATGTCCGGTGGAAAGTTTCTTTCTATCCTTATGCTCGGTGCGGATGATCGAAACTTTTCGGTCTGACCGGCTATCTTTCGGGCAGCTGTTAGCTATACTGTAAGAGTTTGGAAAGCTGAGATGTTAAAGATAGTGTAATGATTGTGCAATGTTAGGATATATATATATATATATGTATATATATGCATATATATATATATATACATATATAAGATGAGATATTCGCGAAGTTTGTGCTCGGTTCGCCATGCCTAATGCACTTTGTAAATAGCTTTTAACCTCATGGTGTTGGTCATCGTAACTCTCCGGCTTAGCCTTCTGTGTTTCGGGAATCTCCCGGCGCAATAGCGATGTTAGAATGTGGGAGCCCGACATTTTGGATATGTTGGTAACTATGAAATGACAGCATCTGTGCAGATTTTAGGCATTTTCTGTATTTACACGTTTCAGTTTTGAATGCTAGCTTTTTGTTAAATTTGATCACTCATGACTAGCCCTTGAAATCTGAAAACTTGAAAAACTTGAAACATCAAGTTTTGTTAATCAAGCCAATGCCCGCTTGATTATGGCGCTTAGTCAATGCCATCTAGTGTATTGCAAGTCGATAGTTGTCAGAATAAGGACTCATAACTCATAAGCGTAGAGATAAGCATGCCGACAGAAGCTGATGCATCGCTGTATTCAAATTAAGCGTGTGACTTGAAGAAGCTCCTACTGATATTCATCAAACTGGGTTGCATTTCGCTGCGGATATAACCATGACACACGCCTACCGATCGTCTGTAAAATGCTCGCCGAAATGCGTCACAAAGTATATTTTCACGAAAAACTGGTGAGTACATAAATATTTGCCGAACTCGGTCGACAATTATCACACATGACTGGGGTGGCGCCCAGCCCACCCCCACTTCACTGAGGTGGCGCTCAGGTCAGTCCCACCTCCATGGGGAAATCCCGCAGCCTGTGGCGATGCCACGTGGGCTGGCTCTGCAGCCTTGTGATGCGCTGGCGCAGCTGCTCCCCAGCGGGGTTCAGCCGCTTACAGCCGGTCGTACGGGTTGGGCACCGGGGTGGGCAGGTGGTCGCCCGTGGCAACGAAGCCGTCGGCGTTGGCGACGAAGGAGAGCTCGATGGGCGTGCCCTCGGGCGACAGGTACTTGACGCTGCCCTGCTGGCTGTAGCCGCCCTCAGAGTAGCCGGAGTCGGGCAGCGGGGCGCCGCTCTCGCTCCGCTCGATGCCGTCCTCGCTGGTGTACCTGCAGTGACGGTGGCGGCGGCCGTGACGGGGGCGTACCGAGGACACAAGGGCGCACTGTGAAGCTACAGTTTGGCCTGTTGTACGTGTGGGAGGTACGACTGGCATAGCTGCAGCGGTTCATTGAATTTCGAATGCTGTTAACCACATGGTGTTTAGTTGTTCCAGCTGATGAACGCAGTGCGGCTGACATTGCTGGATTTGTCAGCACTTTTCGCAAACCCTGCTTTCCGTCAGCTCGCAGCAACAGCCAAACGATGGAGTCCTGGCTCTGATCTGATTCAAACTGCCCACCTGCATCTTCGGGCAACACTTGTGCTTGTTCGAATTGATAGGAATTTATATCACTGGCTCAATTTCTCGGAATCAAGAACCTTGCTTCAAAGAACATGAATGAAAAGATAAAAGCTTAATTATCTGGCACGGATTCAATAGTACTAACACTCATAAAGCTGCGTTATCATAAGCAGCTAAACCTCCACGGATCTAGCTTTGGCCTCTGAACGCTCAAAAGTACCAAATTTTCGCATAGTTTTCATCCGTTAAGTGGTCAAAGTCTGTGGCGGAACAGCGCCGTGCGGAGGGTGACGAGAACTTACGAGAACTCGTAGCTCTGGTCTTCGGGCCGCGAGTCAGTGGACGAGAGGATCTTGACGACGGGCTTGGGGTAGCCGTAGGGCGGCGGCGGCGGGTAGGCGGCGGGCGCCGGCTTGTCCGCCACGGCCACGACCACCAGCACAGCAACGGCGACGATCTGGGGCGACAGCGGTGGTCCGGTCAGGGACAGCGGACCCGAGGCGGTCCCAGAACCGTCAACAGCGGACCCGAGACGGTCCCAGCACCACCAACAGCGGACCTCAGGTGGTCCCGACACCAGCCACAATACCGGCCCCGACAGAGGCGGCGGACCCGGGCCCTGTTCCTCACCGCCAGCACTAGCCTGTTAACAACGGTTCCCGAAACGGAAGACAGGTCTAACGCATTAGTACGGAGGCGTCAACAATGGCAGTGGCGGGGGCCATGCCACATCATCAGTGCACTTTCACTTCTTTTTTTAAAATTGTTACTTAAGTTAAGATTGTTTTGCTGAGGCGTTAGGAGTACGGTCCGGACAACGAGGCATGTGTGATGAGGACCCTGATGCAAAATCCACCGCTGGAAACAGTGGGTCTAATCGCTCAAAACTACAGAGCTCCAGTGCGTTTGTAAACGACATCACGTCGGTTGGTGGGGATGGGTCCCGGCCGGTGCTCCCTGAAGGAGGGTGGTAGCACCTTCGTAAGCACCACCGGGCCCACAAGGGTGGGAGTCAATGGGATCCGACGGTGATGGTTGAGAATTTTGTACAGCACTTTCATGGTGGTACACAATCGTACAATGCGCTCGACCAGCGTGCCCAGGGAGCGTATTATACGACAAAGCCGGGCCCAGCTACGCTTCAGCCCCCCCCCCCCCTCCCCCTCCCCCATCACCGCCAGTAAGCCCACCCCTGCGGACGGCACAAGCATCTCCCGGCACTCACCAGCTTCATGGCTATCCGAGTGGCGACGCTGTACGAACTGTGCTGAGTGTCGTCCTCCCGCCGCCTTTATACGCGCCGGGCGTTGGGTAACCGCCGGTGGTCCGGGCCGCTGGCAGCCCTGCTAGGAGGGTGTCCAGCTCCGCCCAGACGCCTCCCACTCCAGCTGGGGGTCTCAGGGTCAAGGGCATGAGCTTCCTCTCGCAGCCGGCTGGCTGGTGATTAACATGATTGGGTCATACACATTTGTTTTGTGGGATGCTTAGAAATCTCGGTCAGAATAATATATCCTGATGCCGGTACAGTCTCGCTACCGTCACCCCGGGCATCAATGAAGTAGTACAGTCGGTACCTACTCACGCCAACTGCCGGCATCAAGGTACCGAGCTGTTATACAACATTATGTTCTGGACAGACGCCGGGAGCTAGATTGCGCCCAGCCACCAGACGTTGCCGGAAGCTCTTAAATGCGTGGAAGACCTCTGGCTTCCGATGCTTGATGCAATTGCTAAAAATGTGTTGCAAGGCTTTAGGTAAACCACCCCGCTCTAAATTGGTAGTGAGGTAGGTGTTATGGATGTAAAATTGATGAGTGGTAATATGTTGTATCAGAGGGAATTAAAATGAACCCCTTACAATAATTGTGTACGTGGTATTAAGCTGCATTCCCCCAAATTTTCGGTCTTGAATCCTGCTTACAGTATCAAAAATTTCAAATATAAAACGGGCACCGTATCATACTAACACCATATAACATTACAACAGTAATATTTACAATATCGCGAGGCACAAAGTTTTTACCAAATCATGTTTTGATTCTGATTTTTTATTCTGCTTTTTGATTCTGTGCGCAGGGTCCGTGACCGAAAACTCATAAAAAAATGCAACTCACTTAACGTATATCAGGTATATAGTTATTGTAAAGTTTCTTAATTTTCTTTGATGCTTACCATGTCCTACATTGCACAAGCACTCTACCATCAATGTGATGCAGTTTGATCTCATCAACATTATGTTTTTGTGTATCAAGGCCCTCGTCAATAGTCTCCTCTACTTGTTAGGTCGGCAGATTAAAAGGATATGCTGTAAAATAACGGCAACGATATATGATCAATGACAGAACTCCAGTAAAGTGTGCTAAATTGTCACCACATAATCCAGAAAATTAAGCATCTTGTGCCACTAAAAGTTACATAAAAGTCAAAACGCTACGTCACACACATAACTGAAAATATTCCTTCCTAACTGACAATGCTTCAGCGATCTGAGAGAAGAGCCTTACCTGAACACATCACTTAGGTTTTGTCTTTTGGGTGTCAATCAACCGGATACCAGTAAGAGTGATGTGAAAATGTCAAGATCACAATCTTGGTTAAAAAAGACAAGAATGTGAGTTATAACGCCAAAAATCATGTCTGTGTTGGTGTTATATGATGTGATAATTCTTGCTTGATGCATCAACGTAAAGACAAGGTGTGTTTGTGTTGTATCTATAGCTGAAGAACGCGAGAAGCTATCATTTGTTCCGAAGAGCTCCACTAACAGCACGTCAGAATGATTAAGAAGTGGTGAACATTTTAGAAATCAAAGCTCTATAAAATCTACACGAATGAAGTATATCGAATCGATTAATTGGCCAAACCACCTGATAACTAGATAAACATGAGCAACAATGATTTATCTCAAGCACCGTGACGGGGTTTGGGATTTTCGTTGTCATGGTATGTTCCAAGAACGAACCATGCTATAGTAGAGTTTCGCATTACGTCGACCTTTCCAAATAAACCTACTGGTCCTTTCACGCTATGAGACATGGTGAATAGTTCGAACGTAGACGTTCATACTAATCACACCTTGATAATGTTAAGGGATTGCTAGAGACCTTAAACGTCTTTCCAGGCTGCTACAAGGATCCAATGAAACCCTGTAGTGATGACCATTCAATATTCTTGGAAGGACTAACCGTTCCCATAGACGTAACCACACTGCACATTTGATTGGTGTGCATTTCTGCTTTTTTGATGTATTGCATGGTTAGAGGACAAAAACAGTAGAATATTCCCCAAATTGGTTGCGGTCAAAAACCACCGACAACAGCATTTGGTTACGCTGAAGACCGTTCCTGCACTGTTTGCCCCGTTGCAACTTGCGACTGTCCATCCTTTTACCCATTTGCTAGTTCGTCCGATCTGTTTGCCCATTTTCGTCGTTCTTTCCTCGATTTACCCCTTGTTTTACAGAAAGAAAATGCGATGCACGTCGCCGATTGCATGTTTCCGCCCTAATTTGTGCTCATTTCTCCAAATTTCAACCATCCCACAATTCGTCCTCACATTGGTCCGTTTATTTCTTAGTCTCTTGTTCCGTTCATTGATTTAATCAGCTTAGGCTTGACACATTATGCGCGACTGAAGACCAGTCATGTTTTTCATGAGCGTTTACTTCTTCATGGCGTCTCGAAAAGCCTGTATTGCTTCCAGCTAGCGACATCAGAAGCAAGCGAGACATGAACGGTGGTGCCTGGAGCATTCACGGAACTCTCGAGGTCAGAGCGACGCGAGAGCTGCCGGGATTGGAGGACAAACCTGAGAAAGCCGCGTAAGGGCTTGCTGCCTTTGAAGCCTGGCCTAGTTTACCCGTCACGTCGGCGATCCGTGGATAGCCGCAGGCATCTGGTGCGGTCGCCTTTCCACTGTTACCATGGAACTGAGTGGAACACGCATTGCCGAACATGGGGCGGTTTAGCCCACCCCATCAGGACGATTTAGAACTGGTGAACAGGTTAGATGTTAAAGCGTTATCAAAGGTACGCGAATAAAGGAGATGGAAGGAATTGAACTGGCCAAGCCGCCTCACAAGTAGATAAGCATTCTCAGCAATGATTTACCTCGAACCCGTTTATTCATTTGCTAGTGACATAAATTGATTGCCTTAGTTTTCACACCCGAGGCACAGTTCCCACTAATCTACGCTTCGGAGACAAAAAATGTCTGCACGTAAGGTAACGATAATAATGGTCCAGCGCCCTCAAACGCACGCCAAAACCACCGCTGATTATACGTTAGCGCCCGAGGTGTCGGCATCTGTGACAGCAGACATCAGTGAGCTATGATGGCCCCCTCCGCTGACGACCTTGACCTAATTGTCCCCAGCCTGCTGCGGTGCGCCTCGCGGGGAGCGGAAGCGGGAGTCGGACGCCCCGGGCACCGCTGCCGAAAGACCGTCGGTGCCCGCGTGGCCTGACCCACTCCGCGAGCGCTAGGATGTGCGTTCAGGGGTGTCAGCACACACACATGGACCTGCACTGACACACATTTTAAACGCAGTGTCATTCAGCGACCCGCATAATTACGACTTATAGGCCATACAGCTTCGTTAGAATGACTTTGAGGCGGATTAACTTGCCTTTATCTAGATTTTATATTCGGATATCTAGATTCAAATTTTTTATAATAAAAATGTAGCACGCTTGCGTTTGTTATGCTTCGGACTGAGCCACGCGTCTTGCACTTTATCTCATTTTATTAGCTTTTGCTGACCCGAATGCTGTGGCTTCTGGTCTTACTTCATCCCAAGCGATATTTCACTGACGTGCTATAGAAGCGAAGGTAAAGAGTCGTTGTGACGAATCAAACGGTCGGGGGCGCCACCTCGGAGAAGGGGGAGGGGGTGCAAATTGACAGAAGGGGGAGGGGGGGGGGGGTGCAAATAGAAATCCGGGTTACCTGCATCCGGCAAGGGAGCGTACTTGACTTCAGGGATGCATCCTTCGACAAAACGATCCGTCACATATCGAAGTACATTTAAACTTCATTGCTGAGCACGGTGTTTTTTGTTTTGTTTTGAGAGCATCGTCACCACCGGATTAGTTGTGGTATTGAAGCTGAGAACGGGTCGGTCAGCCAGAAAGCAATGCATTCTATCTAAAAATGATACCGATGCGAAGTTACACTTGAAGCAGTGCTATGTTGCCAGATCAATAATTGACCCCAATATGCCAGGTCAAATACCAAATGTTTCTGAAAATGATTTTTTAGTTTTACATGAGGCGCGTTCTTCCTTAATTTTGAAAACAATAACACGCAATGATGTGGTAATAAGAGACCGTCTTCAACTGCCCAGTGTCTCGTGAGGTGCACGGCATGGCGAGGGACCGGACGAGGATATTTCACTCGTTTCGACCGTCAAATACCCCTGGCCATCTCGACGTAATTATCTACCCCTTCTCGACTCGTGGGGAGACAGAGTTGCTGAACGTCGTGTGTGGGGGGGGGGGGGGTAGAAAGTACGGTGGAAGATAGGGTTGGGGTGGGGGAGTGGGATGAGAGGAGAGAAGTTTGGGCTGGGCTGTGCAGTGAGACAACCAGCGTGCAGTTAGACCAGGTTGGCGCACATCCTAGGGCAGTTTGCGTCGTTAACCACCTGCGCGATTACATTGCGTATGCCAAGATAACTGTCATTATGAGTGGGTGACGTAACAGTGCGATTTGTTTGTCGTTAATGTGCTGTTAGTTTAATTTCAGTGGTGCTGTACCAGGATGTGGCTTGTTGTGTCGACTGCCCATGGGTTGTAAATGTGCCACAGCTGTTTTTCCGTATGTAGGCAACGGCAATGTATCATTAACCCAGAAAAGAAGAAAAGGCTTTGCACGCTTAAATTTCAGTTAACATGTGCCTTTATTCGATATGTAGCTCAGCCTATGCATGTCGTTAGTGAATTGAGAAGCTCTTTGCGTCGGTTTCCGAGGGCTTTTGCTCCCCCCGCCCCCCGCCTCAAATGTCAATGGTCACTCGGGTTTCTTCGGTCAAATAGTTGAGCATCGCTCGATGATTCGATAAGGAATTTTGGAGGCAATGGTAGGGGCTACCCCACATATGTGATTTTTTAATTGCCTATGACTTTTCTCCAGACAAAGTAGGTGAATTTCATCTGCATCTCTACCTTTGGAGGAGAGAGGGCTTTCAGGTAATGTGTCGCATGTTCAGAGTTTCACTTTCCTGGGGGAATATTGGCCCGTTAAAGGATTTTTCTTCATTTGCACTGCCAAATCTTGGCTGAGTGTGGGGTCGTGGACTATCTTCCGCTCATATTTGTTGTTTGTCTTAGGGAACAGTCATGGCTGTTATGATTTATGGCGAGGATTTAATAGACATTTTACTCACTTTACGGCGCATCGAGATATTGCTCAAGCAGGCCTCTAGCTGGTGTCCTGTCTGACAAGGCCTCGGGAAATATCCCGATGTCCGGCAGACTTCTATCATTTTCCGATAGGTTGGGAAATCAACTTTGTTCTAGTGATTTTAGGAATTTTCCGATTCATTTGTTTGCATTTAGAGAAAGAGTACGCCAGGTGCACATTCACTTCAAAGCAAAAACTAAGGTCAATTCTGGGACCCTGCACCTGTCATTAGCCATTAGCTAGTCACAAAATCTGGTAGCCGGCTTTTCGCCGGTGCTTAATCGGCTAGCCACCGATCTGAAAACCGGCTAGCTGTAAACAACCTTCGTGTGACGAATATTACTTTAGCAGCTCCGCTGAAGTCCGTAAAGTTTTGTCCACTTGTGTTTCTGTTCAGGCTTCAGATGGATGCAACATTACTTACGCTGCAAAAAACTTATGCGCGACGTGAGTACCACACGAAGAAAATTGTTCTGCAAAAACCGATACACGTGATTACATCTACTGCAAAAACGCATGCTATCTTTACTTATTCGTTACATTACTTCTGCAAAACTCATACACGACATAGGTACCACACGGCAATACGTACAATATACGACAATATAATATACGATAATAATCAATATAGATAATAATAGATCAATATAAATAGTAATGAATAAATGTAAATAGATGGATATATATGTGACAATACACGACAGCGAAAACTTATGCTTGTCATTGCCTTTTCAGAAAATGTTTCTACAATCTTCACTTACACGCAACATTATTTGTGCTGCAAAAACTCATACACAACATAGCACTAGACGAAAAAGGCCTATGCTGCAAAAATCACATTCTAGTCATTACTTCTACAGCAAAGACTTGACCATACGTCCTTCCTGTTGCACTAATGTCGCGGACAAGTCAATGAGCAAGGGTTCTATAAGATATTAGGGTAGAGGTAATGACGGATATAACTTTTGAAGCATAAGTTTCGTCGTGTAGCACTTATCTTGTGTATAAGTCTTTGCGGTAGAAGTAAAGTTGTGTATAACTAATGACTGCAGATAGTTTTGCACTAGGATTAGTATACATTTTGAGGTGTAAGTTTTGTCGTGTAGCACTAATGTCACATATGAATTTTTGCTGTGGATTAATGTCGTTTATAGGTGATGACTGCATAGGTTTTTGCGGCAAAATTGACAAAAACGAGAACGATTTTGTGCAGCAAAAATTTCGTCACGTAGCACCAACGTCTATGCACTGAAAATAAAAGTAATGTCGTAGCACTCTTATCGGTAGGAGTTTTGTTGTAGCACTAATGTGAAGCTTCTGCACATCAACCATAACTGAACATTTTCCTCTGCCCACTGTCATTTTGAACTCTCTCAGTCGCTTTGGTATTTGAGCCGGCGGAATATTGATTCTCCGCCAAAAATGCAAGTGAAATCCGGAAGGAGCGACAAGACCTGAAATTGCAATGTAATGGGATACATTTGAGAAAAAAAAATCATGCTGAATATGGGCAACAATTCAGGAGATAAGGTCATGCCCAAAACTGGACTGGATATGGACATGTAGATAAACCACCACACTTGTCATATTTTATCCGATATCATACTCGAGGCTCTATCGGAACGTACGCGCACGCGAGGCGAGGGATACAATTAGTTTCTCTCTTGCTCCAAGCTATAGGTCGCTTCAGCTGACAGGTGAGGTCAAGTCTGGAGCTCTCCTCCTCTGATTCCTCCCGGTGCTCCCTCCGCACACCATCTCCTCTCGCTGGGGGCCCCTGCCCGTGGGCGGGTACGGAGCGCGGGCCCCATTTGTCCGACGCGTGCCAGCGGTCGCAGGGCGGATGCATTGTACTGTCAGCAGAGCGACGCTCGGAGATGCCCTCCCCGCAGGTGCGCCACATTGCGCAAGCGCCGCGGGACGTCGGCCCATCGGCGCGCGCCGCAATCGTCGCCGTCGCGCGCCATCCTTGACACGCGGCCGGCGCGGCCGTTGGGCTCGGATCCATCAGCGCGGCGGGCGGCTGCGGCGAGCGAAGGCCGGTGGATCGCGCCATTACTGATCGGCCGCCAGCGCGTACCGGGTCCAGCACGCTGCCGGGCGCGGCGACGGCCGGTTACTGTCTGACGTCTGATTGGGCGTGGATGTCCTCATCTGGTCGGGTCGGTGATCTGAACGACGTCTGATTGGGTGGGGATGTCCTAATCTGACCGGGTGGATGATCTGAACGACGTCTGATTGGGTGGGGATGTCCTAATCTGACCGGGTGGATGATCTGAACGACGTCTGATTGGGTGGGGATGTCCTAATCTGACCGGGTGGATGATCTGAACGACGTCTGATTGGGTGGGGATGTCCTAATCTGACCGGGTGGATGATCTGAACGACGTGACGGCTGGACAACCAGATCGACTTTGCCCATGTCCTTGGTCGAGCCGGCGCGTATGCACGCAACGTCACGGTCTGACGTTCCATGTCAATCAAGGCCGTTTGTGAACAGATGCAAGTGGGCTTGACAGGAAACGGCAATGCGGTCTACATTACAAGCATGTCCAAATCGGCGCTGGTATTAGTGACACCAATGTCAAAACGTAAACCAAATATAAATTAAGTGCGGTCAAGTGCCTTACTGATGAATAAGAAAAACCCGCGGACCCACGGGAAAACGTTAAAGGGAATGTTCCACATTTATATGTGGTTTTCACCCGTCTGAGCTGCACTCTCGCGAAAATGGGGAAAGGTATGCCGGAAGGATATTTCAAAGTCAGCTGGCATTCATGCCATGATAACGACATTTAACAGGGCCAAAGAATATGACTCTAAGCGTCCATATCTGGCGTTCGTGAGCGCGGTTTCCAAATATAACGGCCGCCAATTGGCTGTCAATCAATGTTGTGCAAGGTACGATACCGTGATCAAACTACGGCACATCGAGGAGCATATTTACTAAACAGAGAATTGTGCTGTCTAGAGCAGTCTTTTCCACCAAAAAAGTATACCAATAGTTTTGAGAGCTTGTTTCATGATATCTCACGCCTTGTTCAACATCTTGAAATGTGAACGTTCCCTTTAATGAAAATCACTAAGGCGGAAACGACGAATTATAATAGAGCGGCATACTTTCTTCCCATTTCAGTTTTTGTTCGTCTTCGTTTGTCCCATTTTTTTATTTCTCTTACTTTTTCTAGGTTTCGCCTCATGTCGTTTGGCACGGCATGATTCAGGCATTCGTTGTGTCGCCTTCGAGATGAGAGCCTAGGTATTTGCCATTTTGCTTCAGATTCTGCCCACTTCTACTCTGCGAATGTATTGGCAGTTGGTTGATAACTCTGGATGTGACGAAAATAGACAAAGCACTTATCCACAAAAGTGTTCATAAGGAACGCAGGGAGGTGTAATCATTCATACAACATCATTTGAAAGGAAAATGTTTTCTCGTTACCCGACCACGCGAAAACGATAAGTTTTAGACGAATCATTATGCGAAAAAGCAAAGGTTTTCGTCATTTTAAGGTTGTATTTGATAATGCACAATACCAATGTTTGAATGGTCGTTTTGGATGGTGAACTGCGTCTTCAGTGCTATAGGTGATAAATGCACAAAACACTGCAATATTGACAGCAACTTGCTCTAAGGGATGGTGAAATGAAGCTTTTGGGAAACAATACCGAGGCACGTCTGCTTCTACCATGCTGGAAACGTTGACTGCAAACCGGGGGTATGCTTTTTTCCTATTCAGCCGGTGGTTCAGACCCCGCAGAACGTTGGGAAGAAAGTGGACCAAATCCGGGAGTAAATCAGTTTTTGTCGTATTTTGGTGATTGCTTTCATCATTTTTCACTGCCCCACTCCCACCTCCGACTTATTTTGCGAACTAAACCTGCCGCAAACCCTACGTGGATATTGTCTTTAACCAATTACGCGTCACGCACTTGGAGAGACAAGAGCAAGCATATCTCTTCGCAAACCGAGCACGTTCGCTTCGCATCATGACCGGCCAAACACATCCCCGCGATACATACAACCCGATCCTCCCGTCTGCATCCTATCAGTCATCAGTCGCGATAATGCCGTCGCAGCTCCCCGCCGTCCGTTCACTGTTCCGCCAGCACACGTGCCCCCTGCCAGTGAGGCCAGTCAGCGGCCGGCGCCGAATCCTTGGCCCCCAAGCGCCGCCCCACCGCCGCCGCCGCCGCCGCCGTCGCGCGCCGGTACTTGCGGTAGCGGGTACTGGGTCGGCACCGGCGTCGGGAGGTGGTCGCCCTGCGCGCGGAAGCCGTCCACGCCAGCCGTGTATGTGACGGTGCGCGTGATGCCGCTGGGGTCGACGTAGCTGTAGGAGCCGGCCACCTCCATGTCGCCTGTCTCCGGCTCGGTGCCCGGCTCGAAAATGCCTTCCTCGTTTTGGCTTATGCCGTTCGAGGTCGTATACCTGCCGGCGGCGGCAGCGGCGGTAGCTTAGATAGGCCGTGGCACAGGCCGGCTCTGAACACTGAGATAGTTCGATAATGGGTAAATCAATGCATATGTTTTTATCGGAACGGAGCCAAAATTGAGCGCTTTCACGGCATAACTGGCGGCCTTAACAAATAGATAACATTGCATGTCTTGACACAAAGGTTACCGCCAGCTCTTTAACGCTATAAAAGATGACAAACGCAAATTGAACACAGGAATAGGGCAAAACTAAGAAATGAGTAACAAACATGGCAAACAATTGAGCTGGGTCACCAATACAGGCGGGAGCGCGTGGCCCTCTCCAACATCCAGTCCGTGCAGCCCCACCCATCCGCGAGCATGCAGCGGCGGGGGGGGGGGGGCTGTCACACCTGTAGACGTAGTTGCCAAGGCCGCCGTTCGGCTGGTTCTCCTCCTCGATGATGGTCGCCTGCGCGTCCGAGCCGGAGATGTAGGAGATGGTGTTGAAGTTGTCGTACTGCGGCCGGGCGTCGGCACCGAGGCCGCAGGCGGCGGCCGACACCATCAGTAAACACTGGGGATGAAGCGAGAAGTGACGGCTGGGGAGGCCCAATATCGAGCCCGTCTGTCAGGCCGCTTGTCGGCGCAGACCCGTCAGAAAGCATCACTGGACTTAACAATACCGGCTGTTTGACTTGTCAAGTTTGATTTGGAGGCCACTAAACTGACGTCGAAGAATAACCGAGAATGAAGGCACATCAAAAGTTGGGTCCGAGATTTGCCCAATTTTGTTTGAAAAAGGAACAAACAACAGAAATACAGCCTGACAGAATGGAGACAGGAGCCTGGCCATCGTACGTGACATGGAGCTGGCGATCGCCGCCTCGTGTGGTGACAGGTTCACACGTTTAACTGCTGGCATGGGGTGTGTAATGGGTCAATGTGGTGGGTGTATCTACCGTGGCTTTACTCCGATTTTCGCGTTAAAAATTCAATGCTACCTTGTTGGTCTTTGTTTTGGCGTGCAATAACAACATACCGAGGCAATTCGTTACAGGTCGGTGTTTGCAATATGTGTATGCAATAGCTTATATAAGTATTTATATATATATATATATATATATATATATATATATATATATTGTCCTTTTAACACTAGAGTACACCACTCATAATTGACGGTAGCCGACCGGAACAGGTGTGGGGCAGAGGCAGCATCACTATGTGTCCCTCGTAACCCCGTTCGATTGGTCTTAGGTAGGTGGATCGCAACCTTTTCCACAACAAGCATACGGTTTCGCCAATCGCGCACCCAGCTCTCAAAACACCTAACGTCATCTAACGGCTACTCACGAAGCTGGTCGCCATCGCGTCGTACGAAGATGCCGGCGATGCGCCGCTGACGGTACCTGACGCCTCGGACACTGACGTGTGGGAACTGCACGGAGGGGTGCTCACTTTAAGTAGGCTCCGCGCAGGAGATGCCGCTTGACACGAGGGCTGGTGGTTTCGACTGCACAATGGAGGCCGGCAGGGGCCGGCCCATTGTTTGTTCAACCTCCCTAGTCAGCTGAACTGGTGTGGCCCGTGTAGCAGCAGCCACCAGGGGTAGAGACGGGCCACACGATAGCTTTTTAAAAAGATTTTATCCGAATGTTTTTGAATGGATGGGCTTCTGGGACCAGAGCTCAAGTTAAGCGGTACTTGTTGAGTGAGCACTGGCCCTTACCATTGATTCGCGCAACTCCAGTTCATCGGCAAAATTTAGGGGAGAAATGTATCATGCCGGAATGTCTGACATGGTCCGACCTATCTTCTGACGTCATCTGACCTTTAGCGCGGCCGCTGCCACCGGCCGCAGGCCATGCATGTCAAGGGCAAAAAGTGAGCGTAATAAAGCGACTCGAAAAAAGAAAAAAAAATAGCGACTTGAACCCGCCCGGCCACAGGTGGGTGGATCGGAAGGCAGACGCTCTGACCAGCTGAGATAACGGAACGGGCTTCAAGGTAATCAACAGGACCTTCAGGGCCAGGGAATGTTCAAGACCCCAAAATGCGCGGACATTCTCGGGCACTTTGGACCCAGTTGACTTTGAGGCTATTTCGCCTCAACTGGAATATTAGCATTCTTGGCCAGCCGCGCAGGCTTCGCCTCATTCCACACTGCTGGTTCAGTGTCCTAGAGTCCTGGACGTCTTGAGGGAGTCATGGCCCATCTAGTCCACGATGGCGGCAGCAACAGGACGGCCGAGTATCTGAAATAATATCCGAGACAGTCAGAAGGCGCAAGAAAAAGCCATTTGGCCATCTTGTAGGTAAGAATTCCAAGCAACCTGAATATTCGTCGTGTTCTTGCATTCAACAGTCCTTCCCTAACAACCAGTAGACAGCTAAGCGGTGTCAACCGTTCCAGGAACCTCAACCCAAAAATGTTGGAAGGGAGTCCATCAAGGTCCGAAAGTTACCATAAATTCGAAGTATAGATTTTAACCAAAAGGCTGTGTCTCGGTGTGGATGTAGGAATGTCGCGAAAGGTGGAGGCCTTTCCAATGCATGGAAGTGGTATACAGGTAGGGATCCAGGGTTTTGTCAGGGGGTGGACCACGCTTCATTGTGGTAATCCCTAGGACTTGGTGCCCGCCCGCCTTTCACAAAGAATTCCCCGGTGTCGGCCACTTTATTTTGTGACTCTTGTTTTTTAATTGGTAAAATGTCTTCAACCGGGATAGTCCGCCGAATTTAGCTCGCTTTACTTCGAAACGTCAGTTTTTTAGTTTGCATGTTAAACTTGATGATTTAGGGTCAATTGTGGCTCGCCTGAACCTTGATGCATCTTGAAAATAAAAGTTGTGTAGACGCGGAAAGAGGATTTTGGTGACCCAAGGAAGGCGATGGTCCCTTGCCCCTCCCTCTGGATTCCCCACTGGTGGTTCATGAATTCTAATTAGTACAATTACAAATCTATCTATTCTTCAGTCGCACTGTAGGGTCGAGGTACGGAAGAGCCCAATTACTGAGCTTGGTTATTCCTTCCGTTTGCGGAAATCGGGCATTGGTGAATGGTAAAAAGCCATCGCTTAGACTTAGGCATCGGGTACAAAAAATGTGATCAGTTTCATGATTTCTTTTCATCCAAGCGACCAACTGACCAAGGGTTTGCGATGAACCCTGCGTACGGCACCCCGTGTAGCCCCAGATAAAAAGTCAGCCGATCACAAAAATCATAGTTTTAGAACCACGCTCCAAGCCATTGATCCATCCATTGAGCCATGGTTCCATCCATGGACTGCCATTTAATTTGGATACGGACTTCATACATTTGTCCCATTCGTCACAACGCCAAGCGAAAGTCGTGGGACGTCATTGTCAACCTGAAAACGGAAGAAACCTTCAATATTTTTGATATACGCACAAAGGCACGAAATAGCGTCATCAAATTTTGTCAGTCAGGGCCCCACATTGCCTAACAGGGGGTCCTGTATCGGCAATGGGTCCAGTCTTGCTCACGGGAACATTTGCTGAAAAAGGAGAGGGACCAGATCACGAACACCGGGGGCTTATTTTGTTGGTCCAGACTTCTGACAATGCAAGTCGATATGAAAGCTTATGCTGAGAGCACGTTATAAGATTATGGAAGGGCGCTTGAACATTTAGGGCCGCCAGTGCGGAAGGGAACTCTCACCCCACTTTAGCTAAGGGGCACGTTAAGGCGACTCAGGGTATCTGGCAATTATTGGACCTCCCACGTTGAGGACCCCCAAATAAGATATTTCCCGCGTTACAGTCCGGACCCGTTCGATTCAGTCTAGGACGGTTACCCGATTGTCGTACAGCTGCTCGAGCACCAGCCTCGTCTGTCTTTGTAGTCGCAGTGGGATCCATTCTAACATTGCTGAGCCCCTTCTGATCTATTTTGACCCGGTCCTATCCCAACCTTTCCTATGGAGTGGTGGAAATATATTAATATAGCGCGTGATGCTATCTCCCAATATTCTTTTCAACATTTTGCGTGAATTTTTGCATGTCGATGACGTCAACGACAGCTTTTGAGAGATTTCATTCATACGCAGGTTTGTTGTCCGTGACTTCATCATCCGCCGACATGCCTCCGTGAATCCCAGGCTTCCATAGACAGTTTAGACCGTTTGAAATCGCAGCAACTTGGAAAGTACGGTACAAGGGTCCAGTTCCATGTTCAGCTGAGGGAGGGAGGCTTCAGCCCGCTTGGTTGAGCTCGAGCCCTCCAAAGTTTGAGAGATGATTAGGCCAAATCCCGAAAGACGCCCCTTTGTTGCCAAATTTTGACGGTCAGGTTTTATAGTTTTTCACGACCTATCCCCAAATAATTATGTAAAAGCACACCCCTGACACCGTACTGCTTCAACATCCATTTCATGGTTATTTTGCATCCCAGTGACGTCATAAAAATTATGCCATGAGGGGTAAAGAAACCCAGTTTGCATGGTGATGACGTCATCGTCAGCTGACACGTTATGCACAATCCGCACTCCCTTGAGGCAACGCACCGTGATGATCTTGCCCTGCGTGGTCACCAATAGCACTAGCGGTGAGGGAACACGATTTTGAGGCGGATACAGGTATTACCGACATGTAGTAGTGCATTAGCGCAATGGTGGTATAAACAACATGATTTTCTAAAGCGATATCCTTGGAATAAGGTATCGTCTATATTTCAAGAAAATCATGTGATTTAAACGTATTTTTTGGATGCCGGAAGAGTTAGCGGTGGCGTCTTGAAGAGTGCTGCTTAGAGGAGGTGAGCGCAAATTTTGGGTTCCACTTCAGTGGCGTAAGCAGGGCTTTGTGGTCACGACCCCATGTAGGTTGTTGGGAAGGGTAGCCTACTCCCCAGGGGTGTAGTTTACTATTCAGTTTTAGGGCTTCAGCCCCCCCCCCCAAACTTGGGCTGTGAGCTTCAGGCTCCAGCTTGCCATCTGTGGGAAGAAATTTAGCCAAATCTGGTGAGATACATGCGCTTAGGCGTATTTTGCGGGCAGGCTAGGTCATTTTTCACTTTTCGGCCCACCATCACATTTTGTGGAACCATGCCGCTGCTTCTGCTCGCAAGACACATTCCCGGAGTGTTGGCGCTCATAAAATTTGCCGATGTGAATGCCCACGCTAGGAAGACTACGTGAACTACGCTTAAAATGACCTACGCTCGGAAGACATACGCTTGGAAGCCGTACGCCCTGAAGAAAAAATGCGAGGAGACCTACCAAAAACATACCGAAAAACCCATGCCTTGAAAACCATACTCCCGGAAACCTCTCCTTGATTACTTTCTTGCCATGTCCTTTTATCGGGTCAGAATATTCCAGTAGCAAGGGGCTGCGGCACACAGTAAGTGGCCAAAGGGGGTTAGGAATGTTGCTAGAGTTGAACACTAGTGATCACGAACATCCACATGTTTAAACTATGCCCATTTGTCTACAGCTCTCCGCGTCCGTAAGGTCATTCCATAGTCCTGTCCTGTCCGGTACATTCCGTCCTTTCGCGTTCGGCCGTTACCACCCAAGCTTTACCTTTTCGTTCCAACAACGGTCCGGTCTGCTCTGGCGCGGTTCGGCCCACTTCGTTGCATTCCGTCCAGATTCGAACTGAACCTCTCCAGCTCTTCAGGCCCAGCTCAACCATGTCTTGTCCGGTAACATCAGAAAGCCGGTAGACTGACCTATCCAGGTTTCTTTCCGTCTCAAGACCCCTGCGTCCACCTGGCCTATTTCGGTCACCTCGATCATTTCGGAACCCCTGATCCTCTCACGATCAGGGGCACCTCAGGAATTTGCTCAGAGGTCCTGAGTCACCCAGCCCCTTGATCGTTGCAAGAGCCTTTAAAACCCCAGCACTATTTTAAAACTCTGGTTTTATTGCACAACAGCCTGTCAAACATACTCACAGCCATACAGAGACTGTCATGGTGCGATCATTGACACAGTTTATAGAGCAGCCGACAGTGCACACCGCTTGCTTATTTCACGCATCTAACATTCCAAACAGCATATTGGTTTCCGTTACTCTTGCTCCGTGCTCATGTGCTAGTTGTCCGTTCATTCTAAGAAATGGTCGTTCCCAAAATATTTTAACGTCATGCCAAGGAACAAAGTAGTGGAGTGGTGCACCCACTTTACCACATTGGTCACTGAAGGGGTGTGCAGCTGCCCGTCTTGCAAGCACGTATCTTGTATTTGAGTGATATCTGCGTTATTCTATATAGCAATGCTCACAATTATGTCGACGATGCGATTTCAAGAGATGGGACATGAATTTTTGCCCATTCATCACCAAAATTGACTGTTAATCTTTCTGCCACGGAGCATTTTTGGGCGGTAGGTATATACTTATTTTATCCTGACAGGTGGAGATGCTTACACTTCAAAGAACACAAGATAGCTAGCGGCTCTTTTATTGGACGTTAATGGTACATCTCCATGTCACAGCTAACCTTCCAGTGTCTCAGTATGGCATGGCCCCACCCCATGTATGCCAAGATATATACGCACATTCCGGGGTGCTTTCTTCCAAACACATTACGGGTCAGTACGCACCGTCTGTGACCTGCGAAATCGTCGATTGTTCTTGTTGCCGTTTTGATACAAGGTTGCATGAATTATGGAGCTCCCATTCGCCGTTACGAGAAAACAACGTCATTTAATCCCCTGTCGCAATTCTCTTACGTTAAAAGTGGCTATTCTGGGGTCACTAGACGCTATATCTCGGCCCGGACTGGCAAGTTTTGGCGTGTCATGCGAATGGCTGTTTAGTGTTGTGTTCCGTCCGCCCCCGCGCCTGCCAGGGCGGCTCGTGGTGGGTCGTGGAGATTGGCCCGGCCGGGGTCACGAGGTCATAGCTTGTGGCGCCACACGAGCAGTGACGCCGGGCGGGCGCGGTGCGAGCGTCAGAGTGTTTGGGCTGCGGACACGTGTCGAGAAGGTCTAGTTTGCTTCGGGTTCGGTACGTTAAAGGGAATACAAGTCTGATTTCCAGCGGACTATGTGGAATCGGAGCACGGAGAGAGGTGGAACACTACAGGCTGGCTTACTAAGGACTGTCATTGAAATGTAGAAACATGAAACAGAATAAGACGAGTGGACGGGTTATATATATATATATATATATATATATATATATATATATATATATATATATATATATAATTCGGCAAGCAGGCAAGCAACTGGCAGAAAACAGACGAATAAAAGGCTGTAAATTGGCAATTAACAGGTGGAAGACGGGGAAAGAACAGTCAGCAAACAGACAATAATCGACGAACAGGAAAAATAAGCGGCAAATGGGCAAGCAAGCAAGGGTAGACACGCAAACAGAGAGCAATAACAGTCAAAACGAAGACAAAAACCGATGGAAAGCAGAGAAATAACCACGAAAACACACAAAGCTTGGCAATGTTTTAGAGCTTCTGTTCGAGTTTGTTTTGTTTATTTTAAAGTTTTAATGTTTTTTTGTTGTTGACATGCTCCGCAGCGATGGCGCGAAAACTCTATGGGGTAAGTTGGGTGGGGTGGGGTCAAACATGATGCTCACTTCGCATTTTTCCACACACCGCCATATGGCTGATGTTACATGCCTTGATTCTGAAGTGCGTTCGGCGGCAGCTCGAGCTGTTTAGCCTAACAGGTCAGGGCATCACTGTTCATATTGTCTTCGCGGGGAACTAAATGGCTTCGGTTGGTGAGGCACTGTGGGCAGAGTCAGGTGAGGAAGATGAAGAGTGTCACGTTACATGCCGGCTCTTGGAAGGCTGTGATGAAATAAGATTATGAGAGATTGTGATAAGATCTACGAGAGGCTAAGATATGACCGATGAGACCTTCATGATGAGACCTATGAGAGTTAAAGATACCCTAAATCTGCATATTCCGGTGCATCGTTAGGTTTGTCAAATATTTGATCCGAAACATTGGAATGGATGGATGTCTGGGATCAAAGCTCACGCTGAACAGTGCTTGCTGTGCGAGCCCGTACTCTTACCGCCCGATCGTGAAATTTCTGGTCAGCGACTTAATTTGGCGGCGAAAACGTACCGCAACGTTCTGCTCTGTCTATTCTGTCCTGTTACATCACTTGACCTTTAGTGCGGTCGCTTCCACTGACCGCGAGTCATACTGGTCAAGGGCAAGCCGAAGCAGCTGTGCTGTGTACAAGTTGGTGCGTATATAACGATATATATATATATATATATATATATATCTATATGTATATATATATATATATATATATATATATATATAAATACATACGCACAATCTATGTTTTGTCTGTATACATAGACGAAAACTTACGCTCTAGTAACGATGCACATCCGCGAATGGAACCCTCTAATTACTAAACAAACAAATGCGCGTGGAACCTTCTATCAGCATGGAGGGCCAACATTAGGACAGAGAGCATCGGAACGCTGAGTATTTTGCGTGTTGCTGATGAACGTTGTTGCTTGTCAGTGATGGGCATGGGCAATGCGTGAATGCTTATGTCTATTGTGATATGTAAATATACGTATTTGTGCTGCACCCATACGAACATCAACAAAAAGCTAAAGCTAAAGAAGCTAAATCATCAGATTTATTGAGAAAATATCCTGAAAGGTCATCAATGCTGAGTCCACCGATTTTAAGAAAACATGCGTAAGGAAAAGGATGCTTCCTAAATACATATATATATATATATATATATATATATATATATAAGCTTGCGTTATGTTAGCCACGAGGCTCATGGTAAGTCCGCTGTGGACCGGGCAGGTGGTCCACCGAACTGGCGAGCATCTTATGCCCAAATGAACCGTTAAAACTGTGCTGCGAAGAGCCAACTATTTTTTGTTTTGTCGAGGGACGAGCCCTTTAATGGGAGTCTAACGTGGTGTGACTCGCCTCTACAGGCATACGTCCTCAGAATTCAGGCAGTAGTTTAGCGACTAATCAGTCTTTACCACACCGTGTGTTGTATTGTTTTAACTGACATTTGCTGCTCTGTATTTCTATTCAGTGGTTCCTACACCCCGTGGATTCCTGATGTTTGCCTTATATGTGCGGACCTTATGTCACTGGAATGAATACTTACACACATATTTTGGTGTGGTGAAGTAAAACGCCCTTCCAGTGGTGTTGAAATCCGATTTCCTCTTCTGTAATACGCAGGATTCAGTATCGTTGATATGCAAAATGGAAGAATTACCCTGAAACCACTCTGTCATCCTGCCAAGACCACAAGGAAGAAGAGCAATGAAGTCCAATAGTGGATCATGCATGTTTATTTTTATGGCGGCAGCAGTCGCAGGTCAGTAATGGCAGCGGCATTGACACGTCAAAACCCACCGCATTTGCTGACAGCTCAGACTGCCCTAAACATCTGCCTACATCACCGATGATCGCCGCCTGTTAGACTTGCAATTGCAGACGCGATTTGCCACGTCTTATTCTATCTGCTATATATCGTTAATACATTAGTCCGATATTGGCCAACAGAGAAAAGGCTCGTGGTACTCTGAATTGTGCATATCGTCAAAGTTGGGGTCACCACTCACTAAATATTCCGCTGAATCTTGGGTCGCCGCTTTATTCTACCGCTCGTCTGTTCGCATGGTCCTACTCATGTCCATCCATTTGTCGACTGCAACACGTCTCACGTGCTTGCCACAGCCGGCCGCGCGGCGCCATTCGTGCAGCGGTTTGAGTACCTGGCGTACGCGCGAGCACGAGCGGCGGCCGGCGGCGCGCGGCCGGAGCGGGCGACGCCACCACCGCTGACGCTCAACTTCACGGCTCTGGGCCGCGAGTTTCGGCTGCTGCTGACCGCCGACCGGACGACGATCCCGCCCGAGCTGCTGACCGACGGCCCGGCCGGCGTCACGCTCTACCAGGGCAGCGTGCACGGTGAGGGGAGTCGCCAGAGCAGAGCACACGGTGATGACCTGTACCGCGGTAGAGCACACGGTGATGGGCTGCATCGGGGCGGGGCACACGGTGATGGGCTGCATCAGGGTGGGGCACACCATGATGAGCTGTGCTGGGGTGGAGCACACGGTGATGGCTGTACCGGGGCGGGGTACACGGTGATGGGCTGTAGCGGGGTGGGGCACGGCGGTGATCTGTACCGGGGCGGGGCACACGGTGGTGAGCTGTACCGGGGCGGGGCACACGGTGGTGAGCGTAACGGGGCGGGGCACACGGTGATGGGCTGTACCGGGGCACACGGTGATGGGCTGCATCGGGGTGGGGCGCGCCATGATGAGCTGTACCGGGGTGGAGCACACAGTAATGACCTAAACCGGGGTGGAGCACACGGTGATAAACTGTACCACGGTAGAGCACACGGTGGTGGGCTGTATCGGGGTGGAGCACACGGTGATTAGCTGTACCGCGGTAGAACACACGGTGATGGGCTGTGTCGGGGTGGAGCACGCGTACCGGGGTGGAGCACACGGCAATGAGCTGTACCGGGGTGGAGCACACGATGGCGGGGTGTACCGGGGTGAAGCACGCGGCGATGGGCTGTATTAGGTTGGAGCACACGGTGGTGAGCTATACCGGTGTGGAGCATACGGTGATGAGCTGTACCGGGGAGGAGCACACGGCAATGAGCTGCACCGGGGTGGAGCACACGGTGATGAGCTGTACCGGGGTGAAGCACACGGCGATGAGCTGTGCCGGGGTGGAGCACACGGCGATGAGCTGTGCCGGGGTGGGACACACGGTGATGAGCTGTAAGGCGGCGGAGCACACGATGCTGGGCTATCTAGACCAGACGCACAACGCAATTGTGTTCTGGGGTATGATGCACGGTGGGGAGAAGAGGGGGGGGGGGGGGAGGAGTTTCACGGGAGCCAGGTACAGGGTAAGTGACTACACTAGTGCTCGACTCACGTTGCGGGGCTATGCCAGGGCGGACTGTGCGACATGAGTTGTGCGACGGTTTGGTACGCCGTGCGGAGCGTTGGCAGGGCCGTGTGCACGGCTAGTGGCTGTGCCTGAGCTGCGCACATGCACCGAGAGGCACTGACAATGGCGGCTATGGGTGAAGCCCCTCTTTAGAACTTGAGGCAGGAATATTGCAGTTAGTTAAGCGTTTGTTTTTGTCTGTTGTTAACATGACAGAAGCAGTGACAGAAATGAGCCTTGCGTCGCTTTTGTCGAAGTTCGGGGAGAGAAGCGTCGAAGCTGGAGATCGCCACACTGTCGCGACTCGTCCCCCTGGAGGTGTTGACGTTAACATCGCCAATGGGGCCCATGTAAGGCTAGCGATTCACCGGCACCAGTCACTGCCCGTGCATCACTGCAGGCCACCCGGACTCGTTCGTGTTCGGCTCGGTGCGAGACGGCGTGTTCGAGGGCGCGCTGGTGGTGCCGCCCGTCACCTATTACGTGGAGCCGGCGCAGGTGTTCGGCGGCGCCCGGCCGGCGGCCGCACACTCGGTCATATACTCCAGCCAGGACGTGAGGTTCCCCAACGGTGAGACCGATCACGCTGGCTGTGGGTGGGGCAGCATCTCGCGGAGGGCACGGTGCGATTCGGTCGATAGCTTTTAGACTTGGTGGGCTGCCGTAGACTCCAGTGTAATGCTGGTGTGTGCTGCCAGATGCGTGTTGTATGTGCCTGCATGCCATACAAAGATGACACCTCAAACCACCAGTCTGTCAAGTTCACCTGCAGTGATCTGAGAGATAAGAATGCTTAGATATGAGGCGAGATCAAATTCAAAACTGGGATACAAGACGGTAGCGTGCCTGACATCGTTGGAAATGTTTTTGTCCGAAAAGTGTGTAAGCAAATTAATTTATCGATAATTCAAACTTTCCGGGCTTCTTTTCAGGCTCAGGCTGTGGGTTTCGAGATCACCTTCATCGCGATGTCACACAGCCAGGCCACTCCAGCCATCGCCCAGTGAGTGATGTGTATCCCGACCAGGTGGTCAGTTAACACCGACGACTCTCTCTCTAAAGCTCGCTGTCGATACAATGGCCGTCACGATGCGTCGTTAAAGCGCAGTCTCAAACGGAGCACACCGGTATATAGGTGCGGCTTATTTTTCGTTGAAAATGTTAACGATGCGTCTTCTTTCAAGCGCCACAGGAAGCGTCTCGCCGCTCGGTTAACAGGGCATCGCACCTCGCGAACCGGGCTTCAGCCGGGACAGGGCCGGGCGCGTGTGGCCGCTGCTGGACCCTGCTGCGCTTGCTCGCAGACGGAGGCGGCGGAGGCGGCAGAGGCCGGCCGCCGCCGCCGGTTCCTGACGAGCCGCTTCAGCCCGGCTCCGAACGCCAACCCGAACAAGGACCAGGCGGGCGTGTGCACCATGGCCATCGAGACCGACCCCATGCTCTGGAAATACGTCATTGACAAGGTGACCGGCCCGGGCGCCGGCGCTGGCTGGCTGGTGCAGACAGCACCGCTGCTGCTGCTGCTTGTGTCGGGCCAGACCGTGGCTGGTGCCCAACTGGTTTGGACTTGCGGTGGCGATTCTTTTTAAGTAACGCAGAAGTTTCCCTGAATGACGGCGTTCCTTGAGCACAGCATCGTCCCGCCGGGAACTGTTTGGTCCCGACGCAGAGAACGGTCTCAACCCATTTGACCGGCTACTGGGTGTGTCATAACCAGGGGTGTCACTTTCGGATTCGGCTGGTGGGCGGAGCCAATATGGGTGACTTGACATACCCCCAAATCCTAATTTCTCACGGATTTTTACCACCGTAAATTACGCCCCTCACGCGAGTGGAAAATATTGGGTCCGTTTCAAAATTGCTTTGTGTTGAGGTATAAGTGAAGCCGATGAAATATCGCTGATAATGATAATATCGACAGGGATGTATTCAGGTACCTACTGTACCGGCAGATAAGACACTTGCATTTCATTGACCCAGTACTCCCTTTTTGCTCACGTGCTTCTTGGGGTGAGCCCAGAAGAGCATTGAGGGGTTTGAGTCAGCATTAGGAGGGTCTCAGTCCCCCCGGAAGTAGACAAAGTGACACCCCTGGTGGTAACTTCACGCGTATGTATAACTGGCTGCCAAAAGGCCTTGTTTCGTTGTGCGACATGACAGAGGGGGGGGGGGGGGAGGGGAGGTTGGCGCCGCCCAAGCACGTCGCCCCGCCATCCGACCGCCTCGCGCCGCCCGGCAGTTCGATGGGGACGCCCGTCGGAGCCGCGACTACCTCATCAGCCTGATCGGCTCGCACATGGTGTACATCAACCATCTGTACGCCGCCCTGCAGTTCAACGGCGTGTACCAGCACGAGGGCCTGCAGTTCCAGCTGCAGAAGCTGCTGGTGCGCGTCTCCGCCGGCTCGGCCGGTCGCCACCGTCTGGCCAACCCGACAGTGTACCGTGATGGCGATGCGTTGGTCTGCCGCACACGCGACAGAAAACAGTGTTTGACGAGATTGGAATCTGCCTTTGGTCTGGGCATTGGCACGTTTATTTTGAGTTAATGCAGGCGTGAGCTTATCTGTGGTCTCGTTCGAGCTGCCGCCGCCATGCCTGTCTCTCCGCTCGTCGGTCGAGGTTCAGCAACTTGGCCTGCCCCTCCCTCCTCTCAGATCATCGACCGCCCCGCTGCTCCTCGGTCCAGACTCAACACCTCGGCCCGTCCCTCCCCCCCCCTCAGACTCTGACCGCCCCGCTGCTCCCCAGTCCAGACTCAACACCTCGGCCCGTCCCTCCCTCCCCTCAGATCACTGACCGCCCCGCTGCTCCCCAGTCCAGACCCAACACCTCGGCCCGTCCCTCCCTCCCCTCAGATCACTGACCGCCCCGCTGCTCCCCAGTCCAGACCCAACACCTCGGCCCGTCCCTCCCTCCGCTCAGATCACTGACCGCCCCGCTGCTCCCAGTCCAGACCCAACACCTCGACCCGTCCCTCCCCCCCTCCCCTCAGACTCTGACCGCCCCGCTGCTCCCCAGTCCAGACTCAATACCTCGGCCCGTCCCTCCCTCCCCTCAGATCACTGACCGCCCCGCTGCTCCCCAGTCCAGACCTCAATACCTCGGCCCGTCCCTCCCTCCCCTCAGATCACTGACCGCCCCGCTGCTCCCCAGTCCAGACTCAATACCTCGGCCCGTCCCTCCCTCCCCTCAGATCACTGACCGCCCCCGCTGCTCCCCAGTCCAGACTCAATACCTCGGCCCGTCCCTCCCTCCCCCTCAGATCACTGACCGCCCCGCTGCTCCCCAGTCCAGACCCAACACCTCGGCCCGTCCCTCCCTCCCCTCAGATCACTGACCGCCCCGCTGCTCCCCAGTCCAGACTCAATACCTCGGCCCGTCCCTCCCTCCCCTCAGATCACTGACCGCCCCGCTGCTCCCCGGTCCAGACTCAATACCTCGGCCCGTCCCTCCCTCCCCTCAGATCACTGACCGCCCCGCTGCTCCCCAGTCCAGACCCAACACCTCGGCCCGTCCCTCCCTCCCCTCAGATCACTGACCGCCCCGCTGCTCCCCAGTCCAGACCCAACACCTCGGTCCATCTCTCCCTCCCCCCAGATTACCGACGAGAAGACGTGCGCCGCGGGCTATAAGGGTGAGCCGAGCCGATTTTGCCCCGACAACGTCGACTTCAAGGACTACCTGAACCTGCAGTCAATGGGCGACCACCGCGAGTTCTGTCTGGCCTTCGCCTTCACTTACCGCGACTTCACCGAGAGCGTCATGGGCTTTGCTTGGAAAGGCAGCCAGGACATCAAGGGTACGCTCTTGGAGCTTCGGCGTTTGCTTTATACGCCGCGCCCCGCAGGCCACGCGCTCCACTCGGAAGCCGAAGGTGCGAAAGCTGCGAGCTTCACCTGAATGCGTGAAACCCTCTCATCTGAGAGTCTTCTGTGGCGAAGCGCTTGTTTGGGATGTCAGAGTAGCTGGGCATGGAGGCGGGCATTTGGGAACGCTGTGAGGTGTTTGTGTGTGCTTGATCATCTATGTATGACGAAGGACGTCACCGCTATAGTGGCACTGATTTGGTCACTCTCCTGGATTGAGATCTACCATGTTCTGCGAAACGGACCATTGTTTTCACTGGAACAATGTGCTGGTGTACTTAAGATGGTTTCCACACTGCTGATTTGGCGTACCAGGCGTCTACTCGCGACGCAACGTCTAACACAGAATGTTACGAGGCCCGTGCCCTGCTTGTCGGCCCCCGCGCGTCTGCTGCATGCTCTCTGGCTCACGTCATCGTCCTGACGCCCGGAGTATGTCGATGTACTCTGGACTCGCGGGTGCGAGATCGCGTCGCATGGATCAGTTATTGGACGCGCCAGTTGTGGGCTCACACGCCGGTCCTCTGTGGGATCGGCGTGCGTGCCCGGCTGCTCAGTTTTGCGATTTCATGGTTCCCATTCAAGCTTAGAAGTGGCGACCAGTGGTGGTTCTGTGTGTCTTCCTTTCTACAGTTCCACAGAGCCGGCGCCCCTGTGGCGCCCAGTTACGTGAGCTGACGCGGTTCTCCGTCTCTCGCAGACAAGTTCTCGGGCGTGTGCGGTAAGTCGGGCGTCAAGATGATGATGAAGGACGGCACAATGCAGAAGGTGCGCCTCAGCAAAAACTGCGGAATCGTCTCCATCCTCAACTACAACGAGCGCGTGCCGCCCATCGTGTCGCACCTGACGTTTGCGCACGAGATCGGCCACACGCTCGGCTCCTCGGTCAGTCCCCTTGCACCTGTCTCCTGGTCCGGTCCGACACTAGACACAGGTGGCCTGTGCTCTGACGGACACGGCGTGAGGCTCCCGCGAGTGAACACGTACGGATGTTACAGATGGAGCCCGTCGGAGATATGCACATCGGCATACCTGCTCCCGATGTTTTTCTCTAATCTTGCCGTCCAGTTGAGAGCTTCAAGCTAAAATGTTTCCCATTTATTCGTTCCTACCTGTTTTATCTTGCTTGCTTCTGCTGCTTCGCGCCTCTAAGCCTCTCAATTCATTTGGAGTGACGACCGGCCCCTGTGCTGTGGTGCCCAGACGACCTCGGCGTCCAACTCGCCTCCCCGTCCCCCGCGTGCCAACAGCACGACCTGCCGGAGAACAACAAGCCCGAGTGCGTGCCGGGCGGCTTCAACGGCAACTTCATCATGTACCCGTACTCGGTGTCGGGCTACGACCCCAACAACTCGCGCTTCTCGCCGTGCAGCCACCGGCTCATCTCGCGCGTGCTGGACATCATCGCGGAGGGCAAGCGGCGGCAGTGCTTCATCTGTGAGCCGCCCCGGGCCCAGGGGCGGACGCTGCGGCGTGGTGGCGTGGAATGCTGCAGATTTCCCATGCGGTGACTGGTGTAGATATTGGGCGACTTTCGCAGCGGTGTCTGAGCTGGTGCTGCAGGCGTCGCTTACAGGAGAGTGCAGCCGTATTGAACGTATTGAAATCACTGGCCGATCATGGCGGTGCTGTTGTGATTCTCCGGATTTGGAAATGTGGATGTCTGTGACTATCATCCAGCGCTCTGTCCCCAGCAGCAGGAGCCGTCCGTTCTCTCATGAGGGCCACAGTGTCCATGGCCCTCGCCTAGACGTCCTCCCCGAGGGAATCAGAGTCCACGCCTGCCCGTCCCCAGCCGCTGCGTGCGCCGCCAGCGTCTGACGCATGGCCGCCGGCTCGTCCCCAGCCACCGTGCCCAGCTACTGCGGGAACCGGGTGCGCGAGCCCGGCGAGGAGTGCGACTGCGGCTTCTCGGCCGACATCTGCTCGGACCGCTGCTGCTACCCCCGGCTGCTCACCGACGCCGACCGTGATGCGAACCGCTCGGCGGCCGGCTGCGCGCGCCGCGCCGACACCCAGTGCAGGTCGGTAGGGACGCGCTCCAGTGCGCGGGGCGCCAGAGCTCCAATGTCACCGTGTCTTATGGGCGCCATATGACCATTGAAGTCGGTGCGCCCCGAAGCCCAAATCATCATCACCGTGCCTTATGAGGATCATGCCACGAGAACTGAAGACCATAAGCTCGGCCTCCAGAGCCGAGCGCGCGCCGCGGACTAAGGAGCACCTGTGTGCGATGCCGCAGCGCCAGCGAGGGTCCCTGCTGCCAGCCGGACACGTGCCGACTGGTGCCGGCCTCCGTGGCGCGCACGTGTCGGCAGGAGACCGACTGTCAGCTGCGCTCCACGTGCAACGGCTCCAGCTCCACCTGCCCACCGCCGGCACACAAACCCAACATGACCGAGTGCCAGAAGGGCTCCAAGGCAAGGCTCGCGACGTGGAAAGTGACCTGTCTGTCCGTCTTTGCTGTCCAAAGGTAAAACTCCATGTGCTTATTTGGGGCGATTTTGAGTGTTTGATGCCACTTGATTCGCCTTCTCAAGCTGAATTCAATTATTGAAGCCATGAGGTGAAATTTTCACAAACTTAGCCATTTCTTTGGCTAAAAGCCTGTGCAAATTTCAAAGAATGGCTCAGGTAACGGAACTTGAATTGTAAAGATCAATCAAATAACATCAAAAGCACCAAATTACCAAAAAACAAACATACGAGATTTTGTCTTTGGACGGCAGAGTGCCCCGGGCTGCTGAAGGCGAGATGACAGCTAGGGATGGCCTGGTGCAGTGCCCGAATGTGTAACGGGTGGCGTGGTTCTTGGGGTTTCGTGTGAGAGCCGCCTGCTCAGAAAGCAGAGGAGCTGTTGCACACAGCTGTTCAGTTCAATCTGCGAGTGCTGTTGGCAAGCGCCGTTCGTCTCCCCTAGACTCGCAACAGCTTTACGGTGCTTCGTCCGTCTGGAGAGCTCAGCATGCTTAGTATGAAGACCTTATGACCGTCCGCCACTGCTGACGTGATGACCGTCCGGCACTGCTGACTAATGACCTTCCGCCACTAATGAACTAATGACTGTCCACCACTGGCGACCTGACAACCGTCCGCCACTGGTGACCTGATGACTGTCCGCCACTGGTGATCTGATGACAGTCTGCGACTGATAACCTGATGACCGCCCGTCTCCGATAACCTGATCACCGTTTGCCACTGATGACCTGATGACCGTCCGTCACTGATGACCGGATGACCGGCAGGTATGCATCGCTGGCCTCTGTCAGGCGTCCGTTTGTGTCAAGACAGGGCTGATCGACTGTGCCCTCACCTCTAACGACACCCAGGTCAGCGGCGTAGAGGCGTTCCCCTGCTGGGGCGCTTGAGGTTCTATTAGGTTACGCTGATGTTGAAGTGGCCAGGCCCAGCGAGACGTGTGCTACTGGCCTTTTGCCAGGTGTTGCATATTTTCCTTTTCCGGTAAGTGTAATAGCCGTGTATTGCAAGAATGACGTCAGATACGTCATCAGCTGTGGCATGATGTACATCCCGATGGCTCATTCGGTTACAGCGCCTTCCTTCCGGTCTACCCACCCGTGGTAGAGCGGGTTCGAGTCGCTTTGGGCGCCAGCTATTTGTCTTCGACGTGCATGGCCTGCGGCCAGTGGCAGCTGCCGCGTTTAGGGTCACGTGACATCAGAGGGCAGGACGGACCGTGCTGGGCATTACGGCATGCTGAACTTCTACCGCCAAATTCTGCTGCTGACCCGGACTTGAGTAATTGGATGGTAGGGTTCAGGGCTCACAGAACGAGTACCGCTTAGCGTGGGCTCTGATCACAGAAATCTTTTCAATGAAAAGTTCTGGATTAAATCTTAAAAATAAAAAGTAGAATGCTATAAAACACGGAAAGAGTGACATTGGTCATTTATAAGCCATCATTTGATTTTAACCTACATTTTCTCAAGGATGACCAATAACTGGTGTAATCATAAATCTTTCTTCCCCACAGGACCAGCTAGAGCTATGCGCCGTGTCTTCTCACCCTTATCCCCGGAGGACTAGTTGAAGCTGTGTGCCGTGTCCTCTCTTCACCCCTGGCCCCCACAGGACCAGCTGGCACTGTGTACCACGCCCTCTCCGTACCCTTGTCCCCCACAGAACCAGCTGGAGCTGCGTACCCTGTCCTCTCCTCACCCCTGTCCCTGCAGGACCAGCTGGAGCTGTGTACCGTGTCCTCTCCTCACCCCTGTCCCCCACAGAACCAGCTGGAGCTGCGTACCCTGTCCTATCCTCACCCCTGTCCCTGCAGGACCAGCTGGAGCTTTGTACCGTGTCCTCTCCTCACCCCTGTCCCTGCAGGACCAGCTGGAGCTGTGTACCGTGTCCTCTCCTCACCCCTGTCCCCCACAGAACCAGCTGGAGCTGCGTACCCTGTCCTATCCTCACCCCTATCCCTGCAGGACCAGCTGGAGCTTTGTACCGTGTCCTCTCCTCACCCCTGTCCCTGCAGGACCAGCTGGAGCTGTGTACCGTGTCCTCTCCTCACCCCTGTCCCTGCAGGACCAGATGGATTTGCGTACCATGTCCTCTCCTCGCCCCTGTCCCTGCAGGACCAGCTGGAGCTGTGTACCATGTCCTTTCCTCACCCCTGTCCCTGCAGGACCAGATGGAGCTGTGTACCGTGTCCTCTCCTCACCCCTGTCCCTGCAGGACCAGCTGGAGCTGTGTACCGTGTCCTCTCCTCACCCCTGTCCCTGCAGGACCAGATGGATTTGCGTACCATGTCCTCTCCTCACCCCTGTCCCTGCAGGACCAGCTGGAGCTGTGTACCGTGTCCTCTCCTCACCCCTGTCCCTGCAGGACCAGCTGCAGCTGTGTACCGTGTCCTCTCCTCACCCCTGTCCCTGCAGGACCAGATGGATTTGCGTACCATGTCCTTTCCTCACCCCTGTCCCTGCAGGACCAGCTGCAGCTGTGTACCGTGTCGTGCCGGGCCTCGCCCTCGGCGCCGTGCCGGCCGCTGACGCCGGGCCCCGTGACGCGGCCGCCGGGCACCAGCTGTGACGCTACGCGCGGCTACTGTGACGTGTTCGGCCGCTGCCGGCCGTACCGGGACAACGGGCCACTGGCGCGCGTGCGGCGTCTGCTGTTCACCGGCGAGGGCCGGCTCGACATGCTCACCTGGCTGCAGGTATTAGTACAGGCGCTCTGTGGATATTGTGAATGCCCCCCTCCCCGCGCGCTGTACGCCGCGCGGATGAGTCAGTGACGAATTCGCCGCGGAGATGAGCAGGCCAGGAAGTTTTCATGCAGCCGCCGTCCGCTGGCCAGTTCAGTAATGACTTTTAAAGATGAGGAATGCCAGAATATCATTATTTGCAGCAAGGTTGCTGATAGCTTGGAAGCTGTCGGCCGTGGCTTTGCGCACGTGTCTTTGTGACTGCGGCGACTGCCATCTCTCCGCGCCTGGTATGTGCGTCACCGTCCGTGTTGGCAGTACAAGTGGTGGGCGGCGCTGCTGATTCTGCTGATCGCGGCCCTGCTGATGGCGCTGACGGTGCGCTGCCTCGCCGTGCACACGCCGTCGTCGAACCCTCAGCTGCCACCAGCGCACCACCCTCGCGACACCGTCCGCCACCCGATGCAGGCGCTCGGTCTGCCGCGACCTGATCAGGTACCCGGGAGCGTGTCTCCTCGCCCCGCCTCGCCTCGCCTCGCCTCGCCTCGCCTCGTCGCCTCGTCCTGTCCCGTCCGTGTCGCCTTGTCCCGTCCCGTCCGTGTCGCCTCGTCCCGTCCCGTCCGTGTCGCCTCGTCCCGTCCCGTCCGTGTCGCCTCGCCCCGTCCCGTCCGTGTCGCCTCGTCCCGTCCCGTCCGTGTCGCCTCGTCCCCGTCTCGTCTCGTCTCGTCTCGTCCCCGTCTCGTCTCGTCTCGTCTCGTCCCCGTTTCGTCTCGTCTCGTCTCGTCCCCGTCCCCGTCCCCGTCCCCGTCTCGTCTCGTCTCGTCTCGTCTCGTCTCGTCTCGTCTCGTCTCGTCTCGTCTCGTCTCGTCTCGTCTCGTCTCGTCTCGTCTCGTCTCGTCTCGTCTCGTCTCGTCTCGTCTCGTCTCGTCTCGTCTCGTCTCGTCTCGTCTCGTCTCGTCTCGTCTCGTCTCGTCTCGTCTCGTCTCGTCTCGTCTCGTCTCGTCTCGTCTCGTCTCGTCTCGTCTCGTCTCGTCTCGTCTCGTCTCGTCTCGTCTCGTCTCGTCTCGTCTCGTCTCGTCTCGTCTCGTCTCGTCTCGTCTCGTCTCGTCTCTCTCTCTCTCTCTCTCTCTCTCTCTCTCTCTCTCTCTCTCTCTCTCTCTCTCTCTCTCTCTCTCTCTCTCTCTCTCTCTCTCTCTCTCACATACTCTCACTCTCACCCTCCCTTTCCACACTCCCCTCTCTTCCCCCCTTCCCTCTCCTTCTCCCTTTCCCTCTCCCCCTCTTTCGTGATACGTGATATTTACAGCGCCACCAAGCGCAGCTTTTTACCCTAGCACTGGCAGGCTTGATTGAAATATCCTCTGAAAGCTTAGCTCGTATGCTCGCAGGATCGCCCCTGAAACAGACGGCACATACCCGCCAAGGGCCAAGTCGCATATCGGTCACAGCATACGTCCTAGTTACCATGCATCTGCATGCCACCTATTGTCTTCCAATATTTCGGCTAATTTAGAAGTCAAGGGAGCCTTTGCAGCCTCAGCCTCTTTCTAAAACCTAACCATCACCACGCCGATCTTGGAAGCTATGCGCAAGCGCACGCTAAGGAAAATGCATGACCTGCTCTATTTCTTGAGTGGTCGCTGCGGGTATAGCTTGTGAGTGGCGGTCCTGGATCTTGCAACGGCCGGTCAACTGACTATGCGTGGTGCAGGATGGGCAGCCGGAGGCGAGTTCTATTCTGCTGTCCCGTGGGCGCAAATTAGGTATTCTTTGCTTGTCTTCTCATGCGTCACTGAGATCACGCGATGCCCTGGACTTTGGACCTCCCCGGGGAGGTCTGAAGTACATTTGAGTCACGGTTGGTCGCTTTCCCTAGCTACTGAAGTGAAGTATGCGAGCATTTGCCGACAGCTACGTTGATGTGCGTCTTTACCCATTGTTTTGCGACAGAATCGTCACAATCGTTTGACCGAAAAGTCCGCTCGCCGGCATTGCCGGGCTGGTCGCTGTGTCTCCTGCACGTGTTCGTCCGAGTGTCCGGGCCGCTCGAACGTCCACCCGGCTCTCCGGGGTCAGAGCTCCGGAGTCGGAGCTCGGGAGTCAGAGCTCCGGAGTCGGAGAGGGGCCTGATCCGGAGGGGGGGGGGGGACACCACCCACCGGTGACGCTCGGCCGCAGGCTGCCGGCTCGCTCACCGGCCTTGACCGCTGTCTCTGCGGGCCAGCGTCCGACGTCAAGTTCGACCCCGGGCTATGTGATGCGTCGTAAGGCTCCGTAAACTGGCATTGGGGGTGATCTGGACTTGCTAAATTTACGTGGTGTAAGTTCTGTCCTAAAACTGAGCCTGACATATCAAGCGTGACAGTACACGTCGAGATCGGAGGATGGCGGGATGGTGGTATGCGTGAAAGGGTCGGCATACGTATGTCGAATCACAATAACATTGTTTAACGCGCGCGCTTAGAGTGAGTCGCTCAAACTAAAAAAAAACGTGATGCAGACGAAGTAAGCGCGATTGTTCCGCTACGGCAAAAGTGCCAATTTAATTTTTCCCACCCCATACAACTTATCCCAGAGCAGGGTGGGCTGCATCGTTCGAAACGGACCCGTTCAGAAGTCATTACCAAGAAAGGAAACCTAAGGAGATGTTGCGAGAGAGCCCCAAGGAGACGAATACCAAAAACGGATACATTATTTCAAAACTTGTACGCTACGGGTGTAACTGAAGGTTGTTGTTTCGGCTTCGGCCAATGTTCCAACCAAATTCAGGCCGACTTTAAGTTTGGTTATTTGGATTAGAGCCCTCCCGACTGGCTATTTCAGAGCTATGGGGTTAAGGAGAGTGGATAATGGTGGAGGAGGGCTCATGCGCCTGGGGATGGGGGGCAACCGCCGAGCCTTGGCCAGCGCAGGGACCCCCACTGAGGGGTGCGCGGGCCGAGGCCTCACAACAGGGAGCCTCGGCCCACTCCAGGCTGGCGCATGCTGCCGGCGCCAGACAAGCGGGTTATTGCGAGGGTGCAGGATAAAGCAAGAAGGATATGAGGGTCAGGTGCGGACTTTTAGCAGCATTTGTACAGTGATTCAGCGTATTGAGGGGGGGGGGGGGGGACGCTGCGCCGCCGGTGTGGGCCGCTGTCCGGTTCTGATGTCGGCTAGTCAGCTGACGCCGGCGCCGACGCCGACAGGTGAAGGGCTGGATCGAAACTCGGAGGGCGGGCCGTAGCGTCGCTGCCGAGACTCCCTCCGCGCCGCCGGAGCCGCCACCGCCGCCACCGCCCACCGGCGACGCCGACGCCTGGTCCGAGACGTCCTCTTTTGAACACGTCAGGCAGCTCGACTTCCCAGCGACGCCGCCAGGTGGCGACCCGCCGGCGCCGATGGCGAGCGTGGCGATCTGATGCCAGATGGCTCTGCGGGGCCGGTTAGGCCGACTCAGGCCTCCCGCGCCCTCTGGCGGCCGAGGACCGGTCCTGCTATGGCCTCCACCCCTCACCGCCTAGCCGGCGCCCTCGTTAACACCCCGATTGTTATTAGTGATAGCTGTTGTTTGGGACCCTGTGGGACGTACGAGAGCGGCCTCGCCAGGCCGCGTGAGCCGTGTGAGCGGGGCGTGTTGGTACCAGTTGAGTTTTCTTTGGAAATACATGGTTACGCTCATTACAGCTGTGTTTTGTTTTGTCTTATTCGACAAGAACGTTCCAACGGCGCGATAAATTAAAGATAATGTGTTCATTACCTTGATGATCAATGCGATCACTACATCACCATCAAATCAAGGACCATGTAATCATCTTCGTGATCGTGATGTGATCGCAGAGACGAGCATTTCTGGTAATACTGTAACGGACCAGTCGCGTAACGTGACGTCTGCAGCTGCAAAACTAGCCCGCATCGTGACACTAACAGGGCCCACAATGGAATCAGTTGCATTACGGCGGGAGATCATCAGTGGGTTTTAGTTTATCATCAGGAGATCATCAGTGGGTTGAGATGAACGCCGGCAGAAACTCTTTTGGGGTTGATGCGCTCTCATGGGAGACCACATTCTATGTCGGCTGTACTCCAAAAGGAGACCCTCAGCGGGTATGCCAGTCGTACCCCGAAGGGAGACCCTCAGCAGGCATTTCAGCCGTACCACGAAGGGAGACCCTAAGTGGGTATGTCAGACGTACCCCGAAGGCAACCCTCAGGGGGTATGCCAGTCGTACCCCGAGGGCGACCCTCAACGGGTATGTCAGCCGTACCCCGAAGGGAACCCTCAGCGTGTATGCCAGCCGTACCACGAAGGGAGACCCTCAGCGGGTAATTCAGCCGTACCCCGAAGGGAACCCTCAGCGGATATGCCAGCCGTACCCCGAAGGGATACCTCCAGCGTGTATGTCAGTCGTACTCCGAAGGGAGACCGTCGGCGGGTATGTCAGCCGTACCACGAAGGGAGACCCTCAACGGGCGTTTGAGCCGTACCACGAAGGGAGATCCTCAGCGGATATGTCAGCCGTGCCCCGAGGGGAACCCTCAGCGGATATGCCAGCCGTACCCCGAAGGGATACCTCCAGCGCGTATGTCAGTCGTACTCCGAAGGGAGACCGTCAGCGGGTATGTCAGCCGTACTCCGAAGGGATACCTCCAGCGCGTATGTCAGTCGTAATCCGAAGGGAGACCGTCGGCGGGTATGTCAGCTGTACCCCGAAGGGAAACCCTCAACGGGCGTTTGAGCCGTACCACGAAGGGAGATCCTCAGCGGATATGTCAGCCGTACCCCGAAGGGGACCCTCAGCGGATATGCCAGCCGTACCCCGAAGGGATACCTCCAGCGCGTATGCCAGCCGTACTCCGAAGGGAGACCGTCGGCGGGTATGTCAGGCGTATCCCGAAGGGAGACCCTCAGCAGGGTTATTTACACGCCTGCGAGGACTTAGTCAGTTGCAGTTGGGTACGAGGCTTTCAGTGAGTTCAATCAAACAGGTATACGTGGGGGTCTCCAGACCTGGGAGGGCTAACCGGAGGCGCTGGCATCTGTCAGATTTTCATGAAAGCCAGCGGGGATGCCGTTTTTTGTGCCGTTTCTTTGTAATTGCCTTTTCCCGGTGTTTCCAAGATGACGCTGGTCGCCCTCTGGAGGTCTCTGCCGCCACAAACTCTGAGGTGCCGCTGTGTCCTCTGGCGCGTCTTTGCCACCGGCTTCTCTACGGCGGTGCCGGACCTTGCCTGGAGCCTTCTGGCGGCGGCGTCTCGGCCTTACGTCGTACCTGTTCCTCTGAGCCGCTTGACGCTCTGCGGCGATAACGCGCCGGCTCGCGTGAGGCGACGCCGGCTCTGTCCGGACCCGTCGGCCGGCAGCACCGACCCGCGGTGGCGGCGCCGGGTCCTCTCCGGACGACAGTATCGGCACCGGACATCGGCGGCCGCCAGCTCCAACAACGGCGGCTCCGATGCCCCGCCGATACGAACCGGTCCGCGCCGGCCCCACCGCTGATTGGTGGCACCGGGGGCCGGACCGGCCGGGCCCCCGGCTGCGCACCTCCACCTGCGACGCTCAGGTGCTGCTCGGCTGCTGGCTCGACCGACCGCACCATGGACAACGTCAACGGAAAAAACGTCAAGATCTCGGCTCGCGTGCGCGGCGAGTGGCTTATGGTGCCCTGCCAGAAAGGTGAGCCAGGAAACCGGTCGTGGGATGGTGTCGGAGGACCGGTAACAATCGCGAGGTCGTGGCTGAAAATCACTGACAAAACCATCGTCACAAGTGTGTCGTTTCCCTGGACATTGTTCGAATGTTCACAAGCTTTGCCCTTCAATTCTGCTTTCGTGCCCAATGGATTGTTCTTTGCTCCAACCAAAACGAAGCATTGACGGTCATCGCGTTCGTCGCCCAACCTTCCTTGTCACCCCTTGGCCTACTGTTCACGACACTCGCTGAGGCTCTGGGTCGTTCTAAATCTACATAACGTGCCGTGCACCCAATAAGATACGAATGCTTTCGAATAATTATTGCATGGTGAACTCGTATTTCCTGGCTTATGTATCTGTACTTTGGTCTTTTTTTGTCATTCGCTCGAACGACATTCGACCGGCCTTGCCAGATAACAAAGGCAAACCTATTCTACGAGTGTTGGCCAAACACGTTCCTCGCTTTGCGCCGGGCAGACCGGCCTTCGTCAACAATCAGTGGATAACTGGCCCGCCACGTGGTCTTCCGATGAATATGCACGCACAAACATTTCCTACTGAAAGTCCTTACCTTGTATCTGAGTGACCACCGCGCTGGGACGGCGGTGGAGCGTGTGTCGGCCGACCCGAGCGTACCTCAGCTGACCCGAGCGTGCCTCGGCTGACCCGAGCGTACCTCAGCTGACCCGAGCGTGCCTCGACTGACCTGAGCGTGCCTCGACTGACCTGAGCGTGCCTCGGCTGATCCGAGCCTGCCTCGGCTGACCGGAGCGTGCCTAGACCGACCCCAGCGTACCTCGGCTGACCGGAGCGTGCCTCGGCTGACCCGAATGTGCCTCGGCTGATCCGAGTCTGCCTCGGCTGACCGAAGCGTGCCTGACCCGAACATCCTTGGCTGACCGGAGTGTGTCTCGGCTGATCCGAGCGTGCCTCGACTGACCCGAGCGTGCCTCGGCTGACTCGAGCGTGCCTGACCCGAGCGTAACTCGGCTGACCCGAGAGTGACTCGGCTGACCCGAGTGTGACTCGACTGACCCGAGCGTGCCTGACCCGAGCGTAACTCGGCTGACCCGAGCGTACCTCGGCTGACCCGAGCGTGACTCGACTGACTCGAGCGTGCCTGACCCGAGCGTAACTCGGCTGACCCGAGCGTACCTCGGCTGACCGGAGCGTGCCTCGGCTGATCCGAGTCTGCCTCGGCTGACCGGAGTGTGCCTGACCCGAACATCCTCGGCTGACCCGAGCGTGCCTCGCCTGACCCGAGCGTACCTCGGCTGACCGGAGCGTGCCTCGGCTGATCCGAGTCTGCCTCGGCTGACCGGAGTGTGCCTGACCCGAACATCCTCGGCTGACCCGAGCGTGCCTCGCCTGACCCGAGCGTGCCTCGGCTGACCCCAGCGTACCTCGGCTGACCGGAGCGTGCCTCGGCTGATCCGAGTCTGTCTCGGCTGACCGGAGTGTGCCTGACCCGAACATCCTCGGCTGACCCGAGCGTGCCTCGCCTGACCCGAGCGTGCCTCGGCTGACCGGAGCGTGCCGGCGACGCCAGGTAACGTGCGCGTGCAGTGGCTGTCGGAGGAGGCGCTGCGCCGGTACGAGCGTCTACAGCCGGCCACCTACGCCGGCCGCGTCGAAGTGGTGGCCGAGGTTAGGAAGACGCGCGGCGGCGCCATCCTCGACCCACACGACCTCGTGGTCGACGTGCTCGACGACAACGACTTCGTCTCGATCGGTACGGGGCAGCGGCCGGTGGCGGCTGAAA